CACACCCCACACATTTTAAAGAGAAATATTTATACTTGAAATTCAGAAATTATAGATGAACCTGGTAAATTCGGAAGTTGGTTATGACTGCAAATCTTGGTAGGTAGCTCTCTGCTACTGAGCTGCAGCCCAGTCCTTCCTCTCAGCCAGGTTCCATGAACTTACTCAGGTTGGCCCTGAATTTACTCTGCAGCCCAGAAAAATCTTGAATTCACAATTGTCCTAAGTTAGACTTTTAAGAAATTGAGATTATAAACCTGTATAACAAACTCAGAGATTCATGTTCATTTCCAAATAAAACCCATGATTCAGGTTCATCATTTACTTTGCTTCCCAGATTATGTATGTGAAGCATCTGGGATTAGTGTCAAAATGCAGATTCTGACTGAGCAGATGTGACATGGAGCTGATATTCCACATTTCTAATGAGCCCTCAAGTGATGCTGATGTGATTGGTCTGTGAACCACACTCTGAGGATAAGGTCATAGGGGAATATGCACCTTAATTTCAGAGTTACTACAGAGTTCTGTTCCAAAGTGTCTCTTCCCATTATACTCTCATCGGAGTATAGGTGAGTACTTATTTCCCACAAGTTCTTCCTAATACTCAAAATTATCATATTATATTTTGGGGGGTCAATATGATAGGTGGATAATGTTTATCGACCATTGCTATCTTCTCTTTAGTTGTTTGCTTACATTCTTGATTTATTTTTTTCCTTTGGATAGCTTTATCCTTTCTGTTGCATTGGTTTATGTGAGTTCTTTATATATTCTGGATATCATTCCTTGGCTTATAATAGTTTGCATATATTTTCCTTCAGGGAAGAAGAATCTGTCCACCAAAGCTGTCCTGTGATCGAATGGCAGAAGTCACTGAGTCACTTCCTGGGGGTGGGGGTGGGGTAAAATTGGTGTCACCATCAGCTGCGTGCCCTTTTGGTTTCCTACAAATGCATTAGCTAAGAGCCTGTCCTACCATATTACAGTTGCTTATTGGCTGGCTTCCTCCATGAAAGGAATGCAGTCAGTGAGTTGTCTCTGTGGCTAGTCCCCACCACTGGGGGAAGCAGATGTAGTGTGGATAGCTGAGTGAACAGAGGTGGGGCAGAGGGGTTCCTGCCAGGATCTATACTGAGGTGCACCAGTAATTACTCCAGGCCCTTCAGAAGGTGACAGAAGAGGAATGAGAGGACCCTTTGCTCCTAGTTTCTAGATCCTTTTCTCTCAGAGGAAAGCTGCCTCTGGGTGGATCACCTTTTTGTTTTTCTTTACCTTTTAGATATTTTGATGCTTAGAGAAAATACTAACAATAGCAGGCACTTACATCATGCCTTTATTGATCTTCATATATATAAATTCTTATAATATCCCTAGTATGTAGGGAATATCATTATCATTCCATTTTGCAGATGAAGAAACTGAGGCACAGAAGCATTAGATAACTTGCCCAATATCCTACAGCTAGTAAATGGTAGAATTTGGATGTGAACCAAGCTTCCTCATCTCTGCACAAAAGCAACATATGAAACCTTAGTCCTGGCATGAGGCAGGTACCAAGAAAATCTTTTTCTTTTCCTTTGCCATCTCTCCTAGAAGTGTGTCTTCTGTGAATGACACCTTAGACCTGTGGCTTCATGGCGTCCAGTCTTGAACCTCAGTAGCTCGTGTCTCTGAGTTCAGTACCCATTTTTGCTTGCATCCTAACAATCCCAGTTCCTGTGAGTGCCCTGTAACCCCACTTCCTATGAAGCCAGCCCATGATTGAGGCTGTCTACATCAGGGTCTATTTTTCCCTTTTAGCCTCCAAGTCCTCTTGCACCTCTGGCCCCATGGCTTTGCATGGTGCTGCCATCTGGTGGGGACAGATAGCCACTGTCAATCCTTTCTGAGGAGAGGACTCTTGCCCTTGGCCAACCTTGGTTCACTGTCCCTCTTATACCTGGAGATCAGAGCACCTGACCAGAATGTAATGATTGGTGACTGAACGTCATTCATGATTGGCGTTTCATAACTGTGACTTCAAAGACATTTTTAAAAAGGGCCTAGTGTTGGTGGGATTACAGTGTGTCTGGACACAGTGTGTCTGGATAAGGAGTCTTAGTCCCAGTACTTGGGAGGCAGAGGTGGGTGGATCTCTGTGAGTTTGAGGTTACCCTAGTCTACATAGCAAGTTCCAGGCCATTCAGAGCTACATAGTAAGATCTTGTCTTAAAAAAAAAAAAAAAGAAAAAGAAAAAAGAAAAAAGAAAAAGTCTTACTGAGCTTGCTCTCACCTCACATGGCTGGGGGGGCGGTCAGCAGCCTCCCCGGTGTAGGTATAATAGATGGATGACATCCAGTCCGCTCCTCCTGTGTGGGAGGCACCTCTGATCCCTCATGGAGGGCCTCATGGGCAGATCCCTTGTAGGTGGACCCTGTGTACATTCTCTAAGGGTCTTCTGTGGGAGAAGTGGCAGGAGATCATAGATTCAGATTCTCAGAATGAGTTTACAGATCCACTTTGGTCACAGCTATGGTGTGATGCACTCTTCACTTCTGGTAAGTACCAGGGGCTCTGAGAATGAACCCCAGGCAGGATTTATTGAAAGGCCAGGTGGGGAGACACTTAGTGTAACCTAAGTGAATAACAGAAATGGAGCGTCACAGACATCCTCACAGGGAAGAGCTCTCCAGCCTCAGAAAAGAGGCCCCTGTTGAGACTGTGAAACTCAAATTATATCCATAGGTCTGGCAAACCAGGCAATATCCCGGCTAACTGGTCATTCAGTTAAAACATCAGGAACTCAATGAGTTCCTGTTAGATTGAAAGCAATTGAATTGAAGGCCAGAGATATGAATCTCTGCCGAATAATTTTTTATAAAAGGAGTTTGCAAGGGCCCTAAACTTTTTCTGACCTTGTGATTCTGCAAAAGCTTGGTGGGTAAAGTCTTTGTAACCTCCCTCCCACTTCCCTTGTTTATAACAAAGGGTTTGGGGACTTCAGTTAATACTTGGGGAAATCAGTACTTGTAGGAAGCCAGCCTTCCATTTAGAAAATCCTGTCAACCTGTGAAGATCACTACACAGCTGGTGGTGAAGATAGACTTTAGGAGTAAAGAGCAGGAGCTCAGCTAGTTGAGTTGAGCCCCTTCCTTGGTATCAACAATAGGGAGTTTCCAGTTCCTACAGTTCCAGTAGCGGAGAGAGCATTGATACAGCTTGGTAGAAAAACCAAGGTTTGCTAAACAGCAAGTTGGTGTTCATGGATCTGAGCTCAAGACTGGAAAAGGAGGGTCCATATCCTGGAAGGATGCCCCCAGGAGCCCGAGCACTCACTGTGTGTCCTACCCTAAGCCTTTATCTGGTCTCTCATTTAAAATACATAAGCAGGAAAGTACTGTTTATATTTGACGCATAGGGGAAATGGCCTGCTGGTGTTTTGAACCTTGTTCAAACTCACAAAATTAATAAATAGTGGAGCAAGGGTTAGAACCCAGGAGTTTCTGGTCACTGGCAGATCAATCCTAGACAGAAGTCCCTTCTGTCTTTTCCCATGTTTTTCTTGTGTGCATGTTCTCCAAAGTCAAATGCTATCTGAGAGGATCAACTGGTACAAAATTTGAAGTCACACATTCCACATTGTTTCTTTCTTGAAATAAAATTTTTTTTTTACTTGGAATTTTGCCAGTAAGAACATGAAAAACGGGTCTTGGCTCCTCCCTGTGTAATCTGGCGGCTGTTTCGGAAGATCTTGCAAAAGCTGAACTTCCAGGGCTCCCAAGATTCCATTTTAGCCACCAGCTGAGCTCAAGGCCAGGGTTTCAAAGTTCAGGGGGGCCAGAGAAAGCCCAGACCCTTCCTTTGTGAATGGAGGAAGGGGAGAGATGGCTTTTCTCCTGTGTTGGTGTTTCTGGCAGATTTTTCTACCTTGACGTCTATTAGAAACCGAATGTGTCCTGTACATGCACAATAGTCTCAGCTCCCTTCTCTGCCCCCAGCTCTGTTTTCCAGCTAGGGGAAGAAAGAAAGGCTTTGGGATCTTTAGTGGGCTCCCACTTTCACAGCATCTTCAGGGAGCTTTTGTCTGCAGGCCACTTTCCCTGCTAGAATACTGCAACCGGCAGATAAGACAGGGAAATCTTTGTTTTAGAAAGTCTTTGTTTAAAGAATTCCATTTAGAAGCTGAGAAGCAAGTTCCTTAGACAGGGTGCTATGAAGGGGAGGTTCGCTCTAGTAGGAAACGCGGTGGGCCCCCTGCTGTCAGTCCCAGCTATCTCCAGCACAGCTCTGTTGCCCTCCTAACAGCACTGAAGCCCACGTGTGTGGGAACAGCACCGTTCACAGAGCTGCATCCCCTTGTGCCCATCACTATATACAGGGTTTTCCCAATGTACGGGGGCAGCTCGGTCTCCTAAAATGATGGCTAGCGTTTCAGGACACGACCCTGCCTTGGGAACTGCACACACTTAAAAATCTTGGGAGCAAGGATGGCCCAGAGACATCTTAACAGGTCACAAGTGCCCCTTCCAGAGATTCCCAGGAGTCTCCAAGTCAGGTGAGACCCTAGAGACCAGCAGAGGGTAGAGGGCAGAGGGCAGGGTGGAAGCCCATATGAATCCAACGAAGGAGTGGACTCTATAGGACCACTTTTGTGGTCTCCACAACCGATAAAGGATTTAGGGGTCAGTTTTCCTGGGGTTGAGAGGCAGCAGAAGCCCTGCGGCAGGTGAGGGGACCGAAGCATTGCGGTCCCTGAAGTCTGAGATTTCTGAGCAAGAGAGAGCCGGAATTCCCCTAGAGATGGAATCTGCCGGCCTGGGGCCCGGGACTGGCGGCACGCGGTCTGCAAGAGCCAGGGTCCGGGGCAGCCTGCACCCGGACGGATGGAGGTGCAGGCGAGTCCCGGGGGCGGGGCCGAGCCTGCCTGCAGGTGGAGCGCGGGGATGAGCTCCGCCCCCCGGCTCCTCCTCGTTGGTCCGCTGCCGCCCAGCCCCGGCTCCTTCTCGAGCCGGAGCGCGATTGGTGGCAGCGCTTGTCGCTCGGAGGGGGCTCGGGCTCTGCTCGGTCGCTGCCACCGCCGCGGTTCTCCAGAGCAGGCGCGCGGGTGGGATCCAGCAGGCAGCAGGCGCCGGCGATGGGAAGCAGAGCCGCCGCAGCCCCGGGCAGTGGCAAAGTTTTCCAGACGTACGGATCGCATCCTGCCACTGCCGACCACCAGTGACCGGCCTGGGAAAGGCTCAGAGATTTTGAATTTTGGGGGGGAAAAAAAAATCCACCTCATTTCCTTTGTGGAGCTCTGTCTCCGGGTAGCCAGCGGCGCGAGCTGCAAACTTGGGCACGCAAGCTTGCAGGACCCGGGGTCCCAGCTTTGGAGAGCCTCCGGACATAGGTGCGGGGGCGGGCACCCAGCGTCCCCGGGCGTGCCAGAGGGGTGTGAGCACGGGAAGTCCGGGGTGCGCAGCAAGGAGGGGCCCCGGGAGCACTATATGGAGGGACCCCAGAATGGTGTGCACCAGGAAGACCAAAACTTTGGTGTCCACTTGCGTGATCCTGAGCGGCATGACCAACATCATATGCCTGCTGTACGTGGGCTGGGTCACCAACTACATCGCCAGTGTGTATGTGCGGGGGCAGGAGCCGGCGCCGGACAAGAAGCTGGAGGAAGACAAAGGGGACACCCTGAAGATCATCGAGCGGCTGGACCACCTGGAGAATGTCATTAAACAGCATATCCAAGGTACCGGGCGCCCTGGGAAACTTGAGCCGCGCGCGAGCGGGGAGTGCCGGGTGTCCTGCGTGCGGGTTGCGCTAGGGCCGATGCGCATCAGGCCAGCGACTGCAGGGAGGGATTTGGGGTGGCAGCCGCGAGCTCGGAGGGACTGCGTGGAACGCTTCCACTTGCGTCCAGGACCCTCTGCGGATCTGCGTCGCTTCCCTGGCACACGTGTGTGCGCACACGGGAGTGTGTGTGTGTGTGTGTGTGTGTGTGTGTGTGTGTGTGTGTGCAGTTCGCTGTCGGTATGGGGGCGCGCTGCGCACGTGTCCAGATTTGCGTGTGACTTCAGGCTGGTTCCTCTCCTGCTCTGGACCGTACACAAGTCCAGGAGTGTGTCTATGTGGGAATGTTTATGTGTCTGAGAGAGTTCGAAGACAGAAGCTCATTTGGCCGCTGTAAGGGGCAGGAGAGATGCCCTTGTGACCCTAACTGTGGCGTTTTAGGAGCCGTAGGCTGCTGGACAAACCTAGACTAGAAAGACTGTATTAACGTAGTGTCAGGCCTTAGCCGGGCTTTAGCTTCAGTAGGCGACTGAAAATGCCAGGGCCCTCACCTCCAGCAGGCAGGCAGGTCCAGGACCCTCCCCTGGGAGCAGGTGTCAAACTCTGGAAGAAGCTCAGTGCTCTACTATGGTGGAGCCTCTGCCTAGGACCCAGAGAACCAGCTCTGGGCTGTGCCTTTCCCGAGGACTCTTCCCCAATGGGGAAGGCCAATCCCTCTGGCAGCTCCACTCCCAGGCCCAGGAAACTGCCAGGGCCCAGTGAACAGACACCTGTCCCCTCTCCCCATCCCCAGGTGGGTCTGAAAACCAAGGCTGTGTAGGTGGGTGTGCTTCAGGCTGTTGGAGTCCAGTGGGATGGTGGGATGCTTGACACTCTCCTGACTGGATTGGGTAAGCTGAGCCAACAGAGGGAAGGGTGGAGTTCTGGGCGCTTGGGCAGGGTGTGTTCACTCACTAGCCAGCTCTATCCTCTCCAGGTGTCCTCTGCTTTGATGGACTTCCCCAGAGCTTCTTTAAGGGCAGGGTCCAGCTAATTCACCTGTGAACTAGGTAGGCCCTCAAGCACTGGGGCCAGCACCTGCCAGACCCTGGCGGCCTGCGGGAAACTCCCTGTTTACCAGGGTAAGGACTATGTCTGATCAAGTGTGCCTCCCTACATGTCCACAATAGCTCCTTTCTGGGGTCTCCACCTGGTTCAGTTGAGGGCAGGAGCAGTGTCCTTCCCAAGATGCTGCCTAACTAATTGACAACAGCAAGGCCTTGACTTTGACGCTTTCCTAGAAGAGGAATGTGACAGTGCCTGCTTCCGACCTGCCTTAGCCTCTCAGTCAGGCACTGAGTTTGACAGACCAAATTGTGGATGCAACAGTGTCCATTGCTGGTATTTTTTACCTGTTGGTTTCCATCTCTTGGGTCAAAATTGACAATTGGTCCGCAAGGGAAAGAGATACAGGCTGTGTCTTGCTCTGATATTTCCAGTTTGGACACAAGATTTTGAGAGGCTTTCATTCACATGTTCTCTGTGTGTGTGTTCAAACTGATTCTCTTGTGCTTTTTCTGACTGGTCAGAGAGGAAATGAGCAAGGGATTGCTTTGGGAAGCATTTCAAGGATGTCATGAACCCAGGAGCTCAGCACTGAGCAGGTCCACATCATGCTGAAGGTAGATGGAGTCACATAATCTATAGGACTCTACCTGACAACCTGTGTGGAAATTGAAAGGAACATTTGTGATTTTTCTACTGGGAAGCCTGAGAACTTCCAAATATATTCTTGAAAAATTGGGGGATATGCATAAAAGAGAGAGGGGTACTCTTAGAATTCATGTTGGTCCAGGGCGTGTGTGTGTGTGTGTGTGTATTTGTGTGTGTGTGTGTGTGTGTGTGTGTGTGTGTGTGTGTGTGTATTCTGATATGTGGGGAGACAACTGTGTGTGTGTGTGTGTGTGTGTGTGTGTGTGTGTGTGTGTGTGTAATGACATCTATGGAGTCAGAAATGAATGCAATCTCAGGACAGCAAGGCCAAATCACTACCCACTGCAGGTCAGGGCAGCGACTTAGGAAAGGCTAGATGTGAGGAAGACAGACAGAGGCTGGCTGGTTGTTTATGCTTTGGTGGTGTGGTGATGAAGACTGCTCCCTCCAGGGTTCCAGACCATCCCCTGCTGGGATTTAGGGATCACAGATAAGAGGCTTGCAAAGTCTGTAGGGTTAGACCCTGCCCTTGAGGGTTCCTGTGTATCTACTATGCAGGTTTCACATCAGAAGAGCCTTTTTTGAATACTTTGTTACTTTGCTGAGCTGAGGAAAGTGGGCGGTAATAACAAGAGCCAAGAACCTCACAGTGCCTGTTACGCCACACGCTACCAGAGCTTCACATACGTTGTCCTGACTACTCCTAGGAGCCTTGTGAGGTTGGCATTACCTCCATCTTATAGATGTGGAAGCCAAGGCTTGGAGAGGTTGTTTGGGTTGTCCAGGGTCACGCTGTGTTGCACAGTAGCACTCAGCTAGTGTGGCTTTCAGGGTCTATGGTTTGTTTTGTGGTGAGACAGGATCTGGCCACTTAGCTCAGACTGGCCTTGAACTTGAGATCCTCCTGCCTTAGCAGCTCAGCTGGGATCACAGGGGTGTGTCATCATGTCCAGATTATTTTTACTGTAGGAGAAAAGAGGTTTCTATTGGCCATTGGTTCTGGGAATTACGGTTTCTTTGACTAGTCTATGTTTTTAGCTGTATATGTAGATTATACTCTCTCCTAAGAGGGCCTGAGACTCATTGGGAAGAGTGCAGTCTGGGTATTGGTCGACACTAGGGATGGGTGTGCCCTAGTGAAAGACCTTGGAGGATTGTGGAGGGATGAAGGGTTCAGCAGTGTCTCCTGCATGAAGATGATTTCTGTAGATCATGAGGCAGCTCTGGGTCGTTTGGTTTCACAGGGAGGGTAGGAGTCACATACCCTTAAAGAACGTTTGATGACTATTGAGACAATTCCTATCAGGAGGAAGACAGTCTTCTCTTAGGAAGGAAAGTTGTCCAGGAATCTGCAAATGTCACCGAATGTTCCACAGGATGTTCGGAGGACTTGCAATTAGAAGAGGCTTTGGAGCGGCACCCTAGAGGTCTGTTCTAGTCATGACTGAAAAGTTTATTTTCCTCTTGGGGATTGCAGTGATATTTCATTTTAATTTGTTTTCTGATTGAATGATTTAATTAGATGGCGCATGAGAATCTCTTGGGAATGTAAATTGTATTTTTTTAATATTTTTTTTAAACCAAGTAGATGTTAAATGATAGGGTGGATAACTTCAGACTTTAAAACAGGTGTCCTGCTGGGGTGGAAACACCAAGTAGGTCTCGGGACAGACTCCAACTTGGTAGCTTGTGCCTTGCTTAGGTGGTTGGGTAGATGGAGGAGAGCTGCAGGAGAAAGCCCACGTGTAGAAGGATTTACATGGAGAAACTGTTCAGCATTTATCTTTTCTTTTTCTCTTTTGGAGACAGTCTCATACAGTCCAGGCTGGCCTTAAATGCACTATATAGCTGGCCTGGAACTTGCTATGTAGTCTTGCCCCTTGAACTCCTGATCCTCCATCTTCCACCTCTCAGTTGCTGGGATTACAGGTGTGCCTCATCGAACTGGGGTTACATGGTGCTGGGAATCAAACCCAGGACTTTTTGCATGTTAGATAAGCATTCTACCGGCTGAGCCACATCCTAGCCCTTGTTCCCTTTTTAATTTGGATGTCAAGAACAAATAAAAATATTTTCCTCCTTTTCTTGTTTTTGAATCTGTTAAGAATGCACTGATGTGGGACTGGAGAGATGGCTCAGTGGTTAAGAACACTGACTGCTCTTGCAGAGGGCCCAGCATCCACATGGTGACTAACCACTGTCTGTAACTCCAGTTCCAGGGGATCCGATGCCCTCTTCTGATCTCCTTGGGCATTGTGTAACATGGGTGCACTTTACACACATGCAGGCAACACACTCATGTACATAAAAATAATAGTTTTTTTTTTTTAAAAAAAGAATGTGCTGATGTTTAAGGAAGTACTTAAGAATGTATGAAACTACGCAGGATCCACGCTACCCCAGAAACCTATTTTGCGATGATGAGCCCTTCCTTTTGACTCTATTTACTTGACTACACATTTAAGAAGGTACAGTTGTGATTTGTGTGTGCGCTGGTCAGTTTTTGCCAACTTGACACAAACTAGAGACATCTGCAAAGAGGAAACATCAATTGAGCATTGGCCTGGCCATGTTTGTGAGGCATTTTCTTAAGTGCTAACTGAGGGCCCAGCCCACCGTGGGCAGTGCCATCCCTAGGCAGGTGGGCCTGGGCTGTATAGAAAGGTAGCTGGCAAGTCCGTGAGCAGTGTTCCTCCAGGGTCTCTGCCTCAATTCTGCTCCTAGGTTCCTGTCTTGAGTTCCTTCATTGTCTCCTTTCATTGCTGGATTGGCAACCTGGGAAGTGTAAGCTAAATAAACCCTTTCTTCCCCAAGCTGGCTTTGCTCAGTGTTTATCACAGCGACAGGAAGCTAACTAGGACAATGTGTAATGTTATCTTATGCCCCTTTTTGCTTGGCTTGTGGTTAGCAGCATTTTCTTCCCTGTTTGCTATGTACTTTATTGGTTCAACATTTATCTCTTGGTGACCTAAGGTGCCCTGCATTGCGCTCTGGTGGGGGAGTTACTGAGGATCATGGTAAACCAGAATACCTCTAGCCTCTGTTGTGAACTTGTTTTCTAAGGACAATAGAATTCCTTTCAGAACATGCTTGGAACTTTAAGTGGGTCAGTGAGCACAGACACTGGAGAATAGACAGAGTTTTACATGCATGCATTAAATGAATGCCTCGCATGTTACTCAAAATGTCCAGGCATTGGCAACGTTTTGATGTTGGGTCAAAATGTTGTCCTTGGAGTAGGTCTGCCACTCAAAGCTTCTCTGTCCT